ACACACACACACACACACACACACACACACACACACACACAGCTTTAAATTTCTCTTCTAGAGCCAGAATAAGACAGACTCGTATACCATTCTGACCTGGCTGCATTTCTTTAGAAGGTATGCTGCCCTCATGGGGAACCTCAGTGGCCTGGGCTTGGCTCATGCTGCTAAGAAGAAATGAATTCTGTATATTTTAGCAAAAATACTCTTACATGGGGCACTAGCCAAGGCATTATTATTAAGGACATAAGACAGTGGGCCAAAGAATATAAGTACTCCCTGACCTTAAATATGGATAATGTATTCTCCCAGGTCATCAAAATATTTGCTTGCTGAATGCTGTGGTTAACAGCCCTCCTTGAGCAAATGACAAGCATAGGTAGATGCTGGGGAAGGAGACAAGGTGGAGATCACAAGAATGTGCTGTCGGTGTTCACTGTTACTTTATTCTTTCTGAGCTTCTTTTCTCCCAGTGCAGTATAGTCCCTAAAGCCACATTCAGTGGATATCATCCAGGAGCCAATACTCTTGTCCTGACTAGTAAACAGCTATACTTTCATGTCCTCAGGGCCAACACAGTCTGTTTCTGTATACCAAGAGGAGAGGGGAGCACAGGCCTGCCTGTTTACTGACCAGAGGCCGCCGCACTCATAGTATGTGTTTTGTTTTCCTTAGGGACTGAGCATGTGTCTAGTATCCCAAAGGTGGACAGAGCTTGATGTTATAGAAATGTTGTTATGTCAGTGGAAAAAGCTTTTCATTTCCTCACACCCTTTCTGGCTATGTAAAATGTTAATCCCCACAAAGGTGTTAGATCTTCACCAATGTGAGGCCACATGCACACGGCCTCTCTCCATATGTCAGAATCAAGACTACTGGACCCAGTCTTCTAGAACATTGAGAGCTTGAGGAGGCTTGTTTTTGGTGACAGTCTCTTCTTTTCCCCATTTCCGATTTGAATTTTATGTCTTCTGAACTGCCCTGATATAACCAGCCCAGCTCTTCTTAAACAGCTCAAGCAACCCAGGGAAGGTAAAGGTACACTTGTATGACACTGATTGAGGAAAGTGGTGACCCCAAGCTCTTGGTGGGCCACTTGCCTCTGTCATCTCCCTTTCCCCACCAGTTTTGGGGAGAGGTTAAGGGTCAGAGCTGAGTCAGTGCAGCTATTTTGTCAGCAGCAGTCTTAAGTTTCAAACCTGAAACTCAAAGGCAGTGGAAATTCTAAGTTCAATGCCAGTTAGAACCATCATTGGGAAACCTCCCTGTCTCCTCCCTCCTCCTCCTCCTCACTGTTAAGTGAGAGGTGTTGGTTTCTTTTAAAGCCTCAGGCATAACTAGAGATGGGGGGGGGAGACTGGGCAAGTGTCAATGCTCAATCCCTACATTGGTCATCACTCCCAAGGGCTGCTGGCTAGCAACTCAACTGAAATGGGCATTGCTAAGGCATTTTATTCATGTTTCACTTGACATGTTAACCTGGAATTTTAAAATGGTAGCTACACAGTGAGACAAAGGGAAAAATAAGTAAGAAGTGGACCAACGAGCATGCTTGCATTGGGTGAGGTCAATCATGTTTGTCCATTGAAAAACATTTCTCTTTACCCTGGTATGTTTTCGGTTTTCTGAGTCCGTGCTGAAGATGAGATGTTGCGTAGGTAACATCTTTTGGATTTGCAGAAAATAAGTAGCAAACACAAAAATGTTAGTCTTAGGCAAAGTCCCAGAGGGGCCTGGTCCTAGCAGGTGGGTGTATTAGGGTGGCTATGGACTAAATATCCCCAAGAACAACAATGGAAAACTGATGGGGTTGGTTCATTTACATACCTGTAGCTAAGCAAGCATTATGCTATTTAGAAAGGGTATTTTGTTTGGATCCTCTTTTCTGTACTGTTACAGGTATGAAACATAATGTGTCCATTTAACATGGATGGTATAGTTTTTCCAACTTTATTTTTATTTCATGTCCATTGTTGTTTTGACTGTGTGAGGGTGTCACAAGCCCTGAACCTGGAGTCACAGTTGTGAGCTGCCATGGGGTCCTAGGAATTGAACCTGGGTCCTCTGGAAAAATAGTCAAGGCTCTTAACTGCTGAGCCATCTGTCCAGTCCCAGATGACACTGATTTTAACCCTTCCTTGCACACCCCCATTTCTTCTCCTAGTTCCCTTGAATGTTACTTTCTCTGATGAGGAACCCACAACCGCCCAGATTCTCACGTGACATTGGCAATGCTCTCAAGACTCACACAGCAGGAATGCCTTTCACATGAGAACGCACACTTTTGACTTGCAATGGACAGCGGCCTTTGGTGCATGCTTGCTTTGTTGTTGCATCTTCATGAGTAATCATTGTTTGAGGGCAATGAGACTTCAAAACTTTATCAAAATTAGGTCTTCACTGCCCCTATAGGCAAGCTCTCAAGAAGCAATGTTGACAAAAGCTACTTAAGACTGTTGCAGCAGGTCCATTTTATGGCAATGGGAATGACTCCATATATGAGCACTGATTTTAGAGGTAGGCTGCTATGACGGAGACCCATCCTACCACTGAGGCTGAGTAGCTTGACACCTGGCCATCGCTCTATTTCCGATCTGTAAATGGGGGGAAAGTAGCAGGCCCCTTCTTGTCTGGCATTGTAAGCATCACCTGGTTTAATGTGAGAGCTTCAGAAAGAGCTTCATGACATGGCAATTTTGGTAAGTGCCAGCTGCAGGGAATACTTTAATTGTCTAATGGTAAACTCAGCAACAGTAGAATGTATTAAAATGTTAGAATCTGCATTTTCTTCCAGGATTGTCTATTAATCATTACTGTTAAATGAGTTGGACTTCATCGAGGCACATGTGCAGGATTTTAGGTATCTGTTAGGGGGCTGTCTTTGTCTATTCTGTGTTTAAGGGATAAAAGTGTACACAATCATGGACCTACATACTGTCAAAGATTTCAGTGATATAGTAGTATAGGGATTAACCAACATCTAATAGAGAAGCAGATGCAGTTTCAGCGAGATTAATCATCCAATGCTATTTCCAAACAGGTAGTTTAAACAGAATGAAGACTGCAGGGGATTTGGCATTTGGCATAGGGCTGTATGTGCATGCCTGAGAGCATAGTTTGTCCTTTCTTCTCATCAGTGTAGTTCCCTTTAGGAAAGAAATGCTTTCTTCCCAACATGCAGATGCTGCAAATAGCATCTGCCCAGAAGGGAGAAATAATTTACTGTGACTCATCTGAAGCAAGTGTCCTAGGATGTCAAAAATGAAGTATTTATTGCTGTTAAGGGAATGATCTCCAGAAACACGCATTGCTTCTCACCACAAACAGAGCCAGTCCTGTTTTAAAACAGGCTGATGCTGGGTGTGAAAGGCCACTGGGAAGGTCCCCTTAGCTCCAAAATACTCACACCAATTCCCATGAATGTAGCTTCCTATTTTGTCCCAAATTTTTGCTGCAGGGTTAAACCTCCTATTTAGAAAACCAAAACACTTGTTTGAAATATCTTATGATTTACCTGAAAGGAGAAAATGTTTCACCTCTGTTAGTACATCAAAGAGCCTTACACAGTCAGATGAGCTATCACACTCTTCCACGTGGCAGAGACAGATCCATCCCTAAAAGGTGATTTCTCAATGAGTAAATGCATAGTGATGAAAGAAAGATATTTTTGATGACAGGGAACAAATGTAACCCTTTGGCTTTAGCAGGGGCAAAGGTGTGGTAGCCCCCAGTGAGGTAAGCAAGGAGAGCTCTTTGGGAAGGCTCATTTCATAATGTAAACAAATAATTGCCTCCCTCTATGGATCTGTATCTCTCTCCTGTTCTGCTCCACTCTACACATATTTAGAATGGAATAGAAAATCTCAGAGGAGTCCAGAGTGTAGGTGTGGAGTGTATGAACTTGCTACTACACTTCATGGTTCCATTTTGCTAAAACACTGATCAGCAGCCACATAAATCTTTGTAAGAAGAATTTCGTATTAAATAAAGACCAAGAAGAGAGGAAGTGAATCAGCAAAACATCTCAGAGTCTAAGGCAGTCAACATTGCTTCATAACCATCTAATGTGATCCAGAGTAAAATAGCTCTAGTTTACTAATTTCATATAATTATTGAGTACAAACTAATCATGGTATGTAATACACTCACAATAACAAATGTGTTTGCATGGTTTCCTTTCAGCACATTTTTTTGGGTCTTATGGAGAAGTGAACATCAAGCTTTGTAAAGAACAAAACATATTCTGATAAGGTTGGGTTTTGTTTGGTTAGATTTTGTGGCTATTTTGGTGATTTTGCAATTGTCAAGCAGACCCCTCCCACCTATTAATTTTAACATTTCTCTTCTAGAGCCAGAATAGGACAGACTCATATACCATTCTGATCTGGGTACATTTCTTCAGAAGGTATGATGCCCTCATGGGGAACTTTGGTTGGCCTGGGCTTGGGGCACATGGTGCTGAGAAGAAATTAAATGCAGGTATTTTAGTAAAAATAAAAAAAAAATTTCAATGAAGTTAAGGACTTAAGATAGTGGCCCAAAGAATGTAAGTAAACCTGACCGCCCTGTGACCTTTGCTTCTATTATTCCCAAAAGAATGTCTACCTTGGGATTTGCACAGACACCTGTATTTAAGCTGACTCAGAAGAAGCCCCTAGAGGACATAAGAAGAAGGGAGGCAAGGGTGGGATCTCAGGAGAACTTTCTTTTTGCTTAGTGATTGTTTCTGTTTATTGAGGAGTGCTATGGGTGAAGCCCTGGGCCTTGTACATGCTCAGAAAGTACTCTGCCACCAACTCACATCCCAGACACACATAATGAAATATCTTGAGTGGGTCTCAGAAACAGTGGAAGGGTAACCATTCTTATCCCAAAACTGTCTTCATTCTCACACAGACACTAACAGGTACAAAGGCACCATCCTCAGGAATGTCCATTCCAGCTTCCTGTCCCACTCCAGGAAGTGTGGGGTTTAGTTGTCAAAATGCAGATTAGAAGATATTTGTGAAATACGATTATCATGCCCTGCTTGAGATCTGCTCCAAGTGATGTTATACAAGTCCTCATCTTTCATGACTGCCTCCACATCAATCTCAATATCTCTCTCCCTCAACCCCTGGAAAACAGTCATTGCATTTAGGTACCCTGCTCAATTAAGTTTGTATCTCCAAAGATGCTATTTCTAAATATGGCCACCTTCATGGATGCCAAGTGTTATAGATACTGACTTCAACATATCTTCTGAGAACACACAACTCACCCAACAAGAGCCCTATTCGACATGGAGTCATCTCCAAGCTGGAGGCAGCTTCAAAGTATCTATTACAAGTTCAAAGTTTACCCTTCATCTCCCACACAGCTAATCCATTCTGCAGGATCCAGAGAAAGAGTTGGGCATTTTATCCAAGCTATTTCTGAGCAAAACTAGCATGCAGAGGACTGGAGGACTAGTCATCTCTCTTTATCAAACCCAGTCACTTTGGCCTCAGACAGCACATGAACTCCTAAAAAATATATGAACATAGGTTCACAACTCACCCTTTTCCAGGTGCTAGGAATATCATTAGGGAAAAGTTCACTTTGTTTTTAATTCTTTCTGTCATACTTCAGTGACCTTCCTATTCACACACTATATTTGAGATAATCTTCCAAGAGGATGGAGTTTTCTACATCCTAACATGCCCCTTGATTGCTCTGGCTTTGGAGAGCAAGGAAATGCCCTGGAATTATTTGCTCTCATGCAAACAATTCAGAAGGTCATCAGTCTCCACTGAACTTTCCATCTTTTCTGGTGGTTCATTTTGTAAAGGAAAAAAACGTTACTTCCTCCACTGTAAGTGTATTTTTTTTACATGTACATGCTTTTCAAGAAAGATCACCAAATAAAATATAAAAAGAAAGGTCACACATCAGGGCACAGGCAGAATATTGTAGGATTTGTTTTCCATTATTGCAGTCAATAATAATATGTATGATATTCTTAGTCTTCTGCAGTATGAAAATAATGATGGGGAGGTGGGTGGATGGATGGATGGATGAGTAGAGATAGATAGATAGATAGGCAGGCAAACAGACAGATGTAGATAGATAGAGGTAAATAGATAGACAGTACTTCCTAATCTTTGATTATTTTAACAGCTTTTTAGTGTAAGGACAAAGAGAATCTCTGAAAAATGAATACCAAGAGGCTTAATTAGGCATGACACAGAAAATGTATTTTATAAATATTTTGCCAAGTCAATAGGAGAGGAAGTGATTAGTGAGGTGGCTGTTTTGCCTTATGGTGCTTTCAGAGCCTGCTTCAACTCCTGGTCAGCATTAACCATCTGACATATTTTCCATTTGGAGGAATGTTCTATTCTAAGTCCAATTCTTCCTCTCTTTTCACTGTGCAGGGTTAGTCCCTGTATTTGAAGCACCAGAATGGCGTCATCTGCTCAAGCAAACTCTCAATACCATTGACCGGAGGGGTTCAAATTAACCATTTGAGTTTTCCAAACTCCCATTTAAGCCATATCCAGTGTGTGGATGCCTGACCACAAGAAGATTCTATAAATAGATAGTTCCTATTCAGTGGTCTTCATAGCAATGGTCAGTAAATATATCCACTGATTGTTTTTAAATTAACATATCATTTTGTTAGGAAGAATAAAATTGGGTCAAACTTTAATCTGAGCTGGAAAGGGAAGGAGTCTCTTTCCAGATCCATGGTAGTTAACATCCCTCCATCCCCTCCAAAGGCACAGCTCCAATGACCCAACTTCCTCCCACTATACCCAACATTCCTGTTAACTTAGAATGCATGTCAAGTACTTCTGCCCAGCTCCAAAAGCAGGGATGAATGTAAAGTAAAGCCTGGATCTATATAATCCCATTACCTCTACAGCAGGGTATAAGTTGGGTTATTTCAATTTTTCATCTCTGAGATATCTAGTGTAAAGCAACTGTTACAATACAGATCCTATGCCAATGCTGATAGCATCACACAGGGATCTCCGATATTTAGTCAGAAGAACTAAAAAGACATTTTCTGAAGGTTGTCTTGTAAGTGACTGCAGGGGTCCCTGTTCGGGTGCCACTCTGCCGGGTCCTCTGGCAGTCAGGGCTGTGGGAAGGCCTGGTCCAGCCAGTCACTTCCCAGGGCTGAGCAGGATGATGAGTGTCAATGACTCAGACCCCTCTCCTACTCACCAGAGGAAACCACACACTGAGTTGTGGAGACCTGTGGACTTGCTTTATTGTAACAGACATGCACTTATATAGAGGTGAAAAAGTGGGTGTGGACTTCAGGATAGGGTGAGATGTAAGGGCCAATAATATCTAACCACATCAGCAGAGACTGGGCAGAAGCAATTTTGCTGAGTCAGGTTACCAAACTCTAGCCAGGCTCAGGAAATTCTACTAGGCCTTGTGTCTGGGCCTTTTTAGGCCCAACAAGTGACAGAAATAACTAAGTCACTGGTATTTTCCAACAACACCCTGAATGTAAATGCTTATCACATTTTGCAAGATCATAAATCCTACTGAAGCATATAGCTTAATACTTTTTCTCTATCACCCTGCTAGTGTCCTAGTTACTCACATTTTCAACATTATGACAAAATATCTGGATTAATCAATTTACAAGGGTTAGTTTCAGTCTGTGGCTATTCAGCCTGTTGTTGCCTTGGGGGCCTGTGTTGAAGGAGAACATCCATGGTATGGGGCATGTAGGAGAGGAAGTCTTTTTACATCACAGAGAGCAAGAATCAGTGTGAAACATGGGAGCAGCTAGGTGTTCCACAGTCCTGCCTGAGGGCATAGTCCCAGTGACTTACCAGCCTCCTGCTTGGCTCACCTCTTCAACCTCTTCTACCTTTTCTATCATTTCTCAGTAGCACCACAGGGCAGGGACCAACGTTTTATCCTGTACACCCTTGGGAAATGATTAAAGGCCAAACCATAAAATGTCCATTTGAGTGGATGAGAATGTATTCCAAAAGAGATAAAAGGAAGATGACTTATGACTTTGAGTGACAGCGGTGGGGCCACATCCTCACAGGGAAGCCTCTAGTCCCCCAATTCAAGGCTCTACCCAGTTAGTGACAGCAAAGAACTCTTCTAAAAACAAAACAAAACAAAACAAAACAAAACAAAAAACTCTGAAGACCCCCCCATGGAAGGCCTCACCCTCCTGGGGAGCAGAAATGGTATGGAATAGGTAGTGTGTTAGTGGGGGGCAGGGGAGGAGAGGAGGGAGAGGGAACTGGGATTAACATGTAAAACAATCTTGTTTCTAATTTAAATAAAAAATCCCCGGAGAAAAAAAAGTTAAAAAAAGAAAGAAACTGTATGTGGAAGTAATTAATATTTAAAAAATACAGCTCATCATCTGGGTGGTAAAATGTATATTTGGGGATATTTTTCCTCTTGACAAAATTCATGTTGATGTTTTAAAAAATCAGATTATATTCTCCCTATTCCTTAGCATATTAGATTTATAATCCATTATTTGACTCTTTTTTCCATAGCATAAAAGTATTCTTTGATAATAAAAATCCATTAGCTATAGGGGAAAATAGCCACTAAATATATAAATTATAGCACCCCTGAGGATGAAATAGTGAAAGCTGTTATCTTCTAATGCCAAAGGAGTCAGAAGTGCTTAAGATTGAGTGTGCTGCATCTCAGCTCCCTGAAGAAAAGTTACATAATTTGTACTGTATGTGAAATGCTGGTATCCCGAACCCCCCACCCCCACCCCACTGCCACCAACACAGACTGGATTGTGCAAATTCTAAAACTGAACAGAACCATCTGGAATATGAGTCATTAGACTAAGTAAAAAGAAAAAGTGAGAAACTCATAAAGCACTCTCCCAGGAAACTGAAGACCTGCACCATTCCCTGTATGTGCAGACTGGAAACAAGGTCTCCTGATTCTGAGAGCCCTTCTCCCAATGCTGCAGAATTGTGACCATCATTTGTCAGGATGACGAAGGCCATCCTTCTCCTCAGACCAAATCAAGGCAGGCGAAGGAGGCCCTGCTCCTCACTTACTCAGAAGAAATTTCAGAAGGAAATACAATAATAGCCCACACAAAGGATGGCTGTGCTTGAGGGGAGATTCTTCTTAGCAATGAAAAGAAAGTCAAAGAAAAAGCTACATCTTCCTCCAGCCCCTACCCTTCTCATCATATTGGAGTCAAACTTTGGGTCTTACACATGCTAGGCAAGCTCCCTACCACTGAGAAAATTCCCCAGATTTTGTTGCTACTCTTTTGAGACAGGGCCTCGATAACTTACCCAGGCTAGCCTTGAGTTCAAGCTGCAGCCCGAGCTGGCTTTGAGCTTGAAATTCTTCTGCCTTGGCCTCCCAAATAGCTGGGATTATAATGCAGATGGTACTCACCCCAGCTTCCCTATGTCAACTCTACAGACTTAACTGTTTAATATATATATGTATATATTCCCTGAACAAAGTTTTATTTGTTTAATATTGGGGAAACATACATTACCATGCAAGAAAAAAAAGGGAATAAAGAAATAGTTTCTATAGATTCTCTCTCTCTCTCTCTCTCTCTCTCTCTCTCTCTCTCTCTCTCTCTCTCTCTCTCCCTCCCTCCCTCCCTCTCTCCCCATACTTGAAGGCCACAAATTAAGCCAAAACTCCTATCTGAGTGACAGGTAGGTAAAAACATTTGCCTAAGTAACAAAGGTAGGAGCCAAGTTGCCCAGATTGCCTCAACAAATGCAGTGACTGACTTTTTTAGGAAGCATGGTCTCAGGTTTCTATAAAACCTTGGGTCTTTGTAACAAAAAACAGAACCTCAAGCCCACTCTTGGTCTGACTGTGTAAATGCAAAGCACAAGTACTATGCTTTGTGGGGATTTTTTTTTTTTTTTTTGTAATTGAACAGCCTAGTAATCTCTACAGAAATTAATTTGTCTGTGTTTACTAAAAGTCAATTAATTACAGGATGTTGCACACAGAAATTGTGTTCGTCACTATCTAATCCTAAATACAAGGCATATACTGGCTGGTTTTGTATGTCAACTTGACAAAAGCTGAAGTCATCAGAGGGGAAAAAGCCTCATTTGAGGAAATGCCTCCATGAATCCAGCTGTAAGACATTTTCTCAGTTAGTGATGAATGAGAAAGGGTTCAGCCCATGGTAGGTGAGGCCATCACTGGGATGGTGGTCCTGAGTTCTATAAGAAAGTAGGCTGAACAAGTCATGAGGAGCAAGCCAGTAAGCAGCTGTAATAGGAATAATAATAAAAACCCAGAGATAGATATTGGGTTTCAAGCTGAAGATCAGAAAACAAAGTAGCCAGCCAGTAGCTCTTGCCTCTACCACAGACTGAAAAGTCAATCCTGGCTGCCAAAGACAGAATACTGAATGCCTGAATGAGTCTCTGAGCTCCTGTCTTATATGCCTCTCTGGTGCTAGGATTAAAGGTGTACACCAGCATCGTCCAGCTTCTATGGATAACTAGTGTGGCTGCTGGGATTAAAGGTATGTACCACAACTACCTGGCCTCTATAGCTGTGGCTAGCTTGGCATTCTGATCTTCAGGCAAGGTTTATTAGATCATAAATGATGTATCACCATAAGTAGCCCTACTCCATGGCCTCTGCATTAGCTTCTGCCTCCAGGTTTCTGCCCTGTTTGAGTTCCTGCCTTGATTTCTTTCAGTGATGAACAGCAATGTGGAAGTGTAAGCCAAATGAATCCTTTCCTCCCAAAGTTGCTTTGGTCATGGTAGTTTGTCCAAGCTATAGAAACCCTAAGTAAGACAAGACTATATTGTAAGGACCAGCTAATCTTTAAGTCAATTGTATTCCCACGACTTAGTCATTTAGAAAAGTATCATCACCTCTACCCACAGCAGAGTCCCAGACAAACGCTAGCCACTAACTCAAAATGATAATCAAGCTGTGTTTTAGGGAGTTCATCTTGCTTTTTGTCAAAATGTGGAACAAACATTATTTTTATCATAAAAATAAGCAAGCCAAGGGCCATTGTAGGATACTATATTTTACTATTTAATGATTTAATTACCTTGGTAAGCAAGGCTTGCTTCCTAATGTTTAAAGAACTTGTTGAAATGAAGTCAATCTCTTCAAACATTTTCTTCTCTATCATGTACCTAAGATATGACAAAAGGCTTAACTTGGTAATTTAGCAACAAAATTGTTCATTTTTCCTGAATTTCAAAATAAGAATGCATTGACCTTACCAAGTAAAATTTGCTCATTATAAATGTAAAATGTAAAAGTACCACAAATATAACATGTCAATTTGCTAAAATTCTTCTATGTCTATCTATTTCTATGTATTATTACCATTATGACAAGATACTAACACAGTATGTTGATTCTGCATTGACTTGGCTAGATGCCATGACTACATAAACAAGGGGATCATTAGGTAACATGTGGACTTTCCTTAATATTCTACCCACTTTCCAGAAAGGAGGAGAACATGTTTTGCTGAAGGTACTTAGATCCCATCAGTGCTGACTGAAGTGACTCATTCAGTAACCATGGAAACAGTGTCCAGCAGTGAGAAGAGAGGAGCATGTGTGTATTTTTTTGATGCTGTTACTTCTGGGGAGAGAATCTGTTCGGGATTCCTGATCTGTCCCAATGCACTCAGGTTTCCTCTCCCTTCATGCTTTTGTTGATTCTCTATAATTGCCATAGTAAATTTAAAACAAGGCAACCAGATGTTGTACCCTCAGGACCCTATGTTCTTTCCAGAAATGCATCTTATATTTAAAGATGCATTCTCAAGTGTCCTAAAAGCAGACTCTCCTCCCAGATACATTTCTCTCCCTTCTATTTCTGCAGTCCTGGTCTAGGGCCAGGCTCCCATACTATATTTGTGTCATTCTATTTTTTCCTGTGTCTCTTTTCATAAGGTTTTAATATATTAATACTTAAAGAGAAAAATATTTAAAAAACAAGTAAAGACTCTATATTATTATACATTAAAGTTGCACTATATACATATACATATATATATATGTATATATATAGTCTATATGTATTATGAAGTGTGGTTTTCAAAACTGCATGTATTCTAATATACCAGCACAAAGTTCATATCAAGCAAAATTTATAGGTTATGTATCTATGGAGCATGGAGCTACTAAAAAGACGCCATGAAAACTTTGAATAATTTTAAAGTCAAATTATAATATTCTATTCCTTCATTAGTAAATATGTAAAATACTGAATAGCTAACAAAAAAAACTAAATAAAACATGGCTACTTTTAAGAAAACACATACAACATAAAGAAAAGAGGAAGTGATGAGCAAGGCTTGCCTTATGAAAACACATTTATTCAAAAAAGCATGTTTAAATGAAGTCACTCTCTTCAGGCAAGGAGCTGTTAAGTTGTATGGGAAGGAGGGCTTAGGGGACTGCTCACCATGTGCTTATAAGAGTGGGTATTATTTTAAGAATTATCAAGACTGTTTATCTTTTTTAAGAATCATTAGGAGGAATCCCAATTCAGAAAAAAAATCTCATAAAAGATGAGCCAGTCATGCCAGTTTCTCAATCAGTCGTGTGTTTGCCAACAAGGACTTATCCAAATAAACCTGACTCCCCTTAGACCCAGGGCAGTGTCTCTAGCACAGGGTAGGCACCCTGTCAGGGTGTGGTGTTTAGATGCTAATGGAGGTTAAAATGAAATGTGTACTTAAAAGGCAGGAAGACAACCTGAAGACCCCAGTGTGAGAAGGGAAATAAAGGACAAAGTCCTGAAAATTTTCCTGGAACTATTGTCTTGTAAGGAAGAAAAGGAGACAGAAAAGGAGATGGAGAGAAGGCAAACAAAAGATGATTATGATGAAAAATGTTAAAGACAAAAACAAGAATCCTGAAGGCAACAGCATCAGGAGTATTGCGTGTACAATAAGAGTCACAACTAATATTCATGATATTAGTGCCTATGCAGTTATCAGTTTGACTAACGTCCTCTTAGGCACCTTACCAAAGTTGTTCCTCCCAAGTTTATGTGTAGAGAAAATCAAGACTTTCTAGATTATCTTGCTCAATGATGTTCTGTTGAAATCCACATCCACTACCTCTTGGAGGTAGTGGGGAGATGCTCTATCAGAGGACATGTATATTTCACTCTGCCATGGAGTTCCAACTGGAGGTGCTAGAGAGAAGCTTTGTCTAGCGAAGCCTCCCAATGAATAGAATTAAGTGGCGTAATTACCCATCACCACTGCTGACAATTCCAAACTAGACTATCTTCAGCAAGGTGCTCTGTGCTTCTAACTGTTGGGCTATAGCAGGTGAGCATAGTTCATAACTGTTAACCCACAAAAGGCTGAAGTTCATTATAAGTATCAACAGGAGAAATGCTCAAAAATACATCCGAGTCTTTTTTATAGAACTCATCAAAGATTCACAGCAATTACTTGGCGGGAAGATGTTTTCAATTAAAATATAAACTGACGGCATGTTTGTATATGTGATGATTGCTTAATGTTCTGAGGTTATCAAGGTGTGCAAGGTGCCGCACTGAGTGCATCAGGATGTGCAGGGTCCTGAGCCAGAAGCAGCAAAACCTAAACAGTGAGACAGAAAGCATCCTTAGTCTCACAAAAACATGGAGGAGAAGACAGAGATGAAGGAAACAAGCATCCTATCTTTGCTGAATAAGCATGTTTTCAAGAACATAAAAATAAAGAGTAGTTGATCTGTGGGGAGGGAAACTGAGAGGTGGGTAGAGCTGCGTGAGACAGCATGTCAGAAATCTCAGCGTTCAGGAGGCTGAGACAGGCAAATTGAGAGCTCAAGGGCAGCCTGGGCTACATGAAAGAAAGTGGGGCTGAAAAGGGAAGAAAGATGTAGATGAGTTAGGAAAATATAATTTATATATCTAATCAAAATTATATGTCTAAATTTGGGAAACCAAAATGGAGTTCATAATAACATTCAAAAAGAGCAGGCAGGCAGCCGAACAGGAGGGAAGTAGAGAGCGCTGATACTGCAAATGGAGAGTGAGTTGGCAATGTGAGAAGACTTCCTAGAAGCTTACTCCTTAGAAGAGAGTTGGGAGAAGAGAGTCAGAATGGAGGAGAAAAGCACAAGGTGGCTAGGCTTTAGGAAGAACACTATGCTCACAGGATAAAGGATGATAAAGAGGGATGGGAAAGTCAAACTCAACACATCCACTTGAGTTCTCAAAGGCAAGCCATCAAGCTGACCACTCGAAGGCTCATCAGGACCATGCTCAGAGAGCCAGCTCCACAAATTCCGCAGGACTCTGGAAAGTAATTAATACTGAATCACTGCTCCCCCCACCCCAGGGCTGTGAAGACAGCTAGCTGTTTTCCTTTGGTCTTGTTTCACCCTGCTTGAACATACCACATATTCAGTAAAATACATAAATTTGTCTCAGCACATCTTAAGATAGAAAGCTATGGCACTCTCTCTCCAAAACACGTAGCACCATCTAAAGAACCCAGACCCAAGTGAAGGAAAGGCAACACCAAGAACTCAGGATCTTTCCCATGCTTGGCTTCCACTTGCAAGTCAAATACATGAAAAAGCTAATTGCTGACACCCTGGGGCCTTCCCAGCTGTCCAGCTGTAATGAACGGCATACAGGATGGAGAGCAAATATCGTAGCATATGAAAGATAATATCTGATGTTAGCAGGCAGATTCTGAAGACACTGAAAATCATTGTCATTTAAGTGTTAGGTGTTTTGTATGTGGCTTATTGAGGAAAGTTTAAAGTAAGGAAAATAATGGGAAACTCATAGCTGCGGTCCTACTGTAGTCTGTGGTTTATATACTACAGCTGCTCCCACACACACCATGCCGGTTCCAACCTAGGGCCTAGGCATTCAGTGAGACAAATGTGAAAGTCTTACCCTCTGACTATGAAATCTGTCAATTTTTCCTTGACCCTACAAAGATAGTTAACTAGAAAGATACAATTTGAAAAAGAAATTCTCACATGATGAGCTTTAATATTTACATTGTGGGTGAAGCATACTCTCTGTTTCAACTCCAACACATTCTGTGTGTTGATAACTATGAGGAATTATTCTAAGGAAACAAGCAGAGTCGGCTAAGAGCTGTACTTGGAGCAGCGGGTGCCTCCTCTTCCTGGTTATTTGAATGTGTTTGCATTTATAAGTTGGATTTCTTCTCTTTCCCTTTACTTCCTTCACTGTTTCCTCAGAATGCTTATAGATTGCACTATTCATGCACTCAAATTCTAGCTCATTAAGAACATATCCAGTGAGCAGGGCACAGTGGTGCATACCTGTAATCCCAACACCCAGGAGATGGAAAAGACAAATCATAAGTTCCATCTCGGGCTGTTATACAGTGAGTTCGAAATCATCCTAGGCCATGATGTTAGACCTTGTCTTAATGAATGAATGAATGAATGAATGGATGGATGGATGGATGAAATAATGTAATGTTTTTCTTCCTTCCATTATGATGATATAAACTCAAGTCTCAGTCATTTTATC